CCCTCCTGTTTGTGTCAGACCCTGTATCTTTTCCCCTCTTTCGTCTTGCCAAATCTATGTAATTGCCCTGTTACTGAAATCTGCTCTCGCCCACTCGCTGTTTTGTTCTTCCTCCTCATTAACTGTGCTCAGATTTTGTCCGTGAATTTCCCACTTTTTCCTCTTTTCTCTGTTTTGAAAGGTTATTGCTAACAGCGGGTTGTCTTTGAACCCCATGAAAAATCTCTTGGACAGGACCTGATAATTTGAGGGATTAAATAGGTAGGAATAAATGGGGGGAAAGTGTGTGTTTCAGGTAGGAATACAGCAATTCAAAGCCTTGCAAGTATTTAGCGAGAGCTCAAGGAAACAAGTGCATACATTTTAAATGCTTAACTACAGTTTTGGTTTATTTACCTTCAGGATGTTTGAGTTGCATTTTTTTCAGGGTGGCTCTTCACAGCTGTGGAAGCTGGATTCCTTAAAAATTAATAAGCATTCTTATGTAACGTGGAGATTTGGGGCTATACGAGTGCTCCAAATGCCGAAAGCAATGCTGTTAAGTGCTGTGGATGCCAGCCCACAAGTGGGAAGGACAAGCACTCCAGCTCTTGAAAGTCTGAGCTCTTTGAGGCTGAGGATGGGCAAGAGTTCAATGTCTTCTTTTGCTGCAGTGTATCTCCTCTTCATTTTGCTTTTGGTAGCTGGAGTTACTAATAGGCTTGCATTTCAAATAAATGACTGTAAGGTACTCATAAAGTATGAGGGGGTGGTAGTGGTGTTTTTAAGTGTTATACATGTTTAAAGCTGAACAAACACTTCTCTGGATTCTTCAGATTGCAATGATACCTTGTGGGTTTTTTATTAATCTTGGTAGTTTTATTAGTTAGTAACAAAATTTTGGTGCACTTCTTGTGACCTATAGGAAAGAAAAGGTAAGACGTTAGTGTGATGTTGCTTCTGGGCTACTCAAGAATTCATTAAGATACAGGGGAGACTTACTGTGTCCCAGAGTAATACGTTTACAGGAGATGTAGCCCTAGCTAGGCTTATTTCTAGTGTGTATTAAATGTTTGCTTTGTTTTCTTCTTAATAAGAGAAGGAAGGAATGGAAGGAACGTCAATCACTGCATTTTAAAAAAAAGTTTTAAAAAAATTTCCTATTTATGTAGTGAGAGCAAATATATGTTCTAGTTTTATCAAGGTGGTGTGGTTAACTTACGATTTAGCTGGGTATCCAGACACTAAACTAGTGAAGAGTCAAAAGAAAACAAGATGCAGAATTTGTATTAATTAGAAACTGTTCTCTGAATGATGGTGAAGAGCTCACTTTGAATTCATGGTGCAATTTTTAAAAAATACTTCTCTTCTTCTTTCACAGGAAAGATGATAAAGATTACGCTTTAAAGCAAATAGAAGGTACTGGAATTTCTATGTCTGCATGCAGAGAAATAGCAGTAAGTAACATTAGTTCTTTCTACTAGCAGACTTATTAAAAGTATTGATTTGAGTGCATGCTGATTTTTGTTTGCGGAATTGTGGAATTCTACTATGGGTGCTATATTTTTATCCTAGAGGTGTAAAATAAGTACAAATGTCATGGAAGATTGTATGTACCTGTTACGTTTGCTGTCTAAAAATGACAGTGTTTTTAAGTTACAATTTACTGCCTGCCTCAGAGCAGATTAAATGCAGCAGTTTAAAAACATGATTAGAGTCAGTGACTTAAATTACATATTTGATCTCACTTTTGCATTAGTACTTCAGTTATTTTCCTAAAGAGATTAGTTCTTACTGGCTCATAAGGATTAAAGCATGTTAGCCTCTCTTCTTTAAGTGAGGACTTCAAACTGAACTGGCATCCTTGTTGCCTTGGAGGCTATACTACATCCATGAATATTATTCAGACATTTTCTGAGTTATTCAGGTTTATATTTGTGTATTCCATGTTGTTAGAAACTGGTGAATAATGTGGTCTAGTTATGGTTTGTGACAAACTTGCCAAGAAAGACTGGGACAACCAGTATTCTGAAGTTTAACTGTTGTATGTTCTTATGTTATACTGCTACTTGGCTTTATTTTTCTTGAAATGTTTCAAGTCAAATTGCTTACCAAATAGAAATGCATGTGACTTAGGGGTGTGGGGGGGAAGTGAATAGTTTATTTTCAGTCCATATTTCTGAAGAGTGTAAAACTATACCTACCCTAGTTTCGTTTCTGTTGATTGACGCGAGTACCAGGCTTTCCTACTTTGTCAACTTCCAGTTGGCTTCGTGTTTTCAAATGCGTTAGTCCTTGAACTGAGTGAGGTGAAAAAAATGAAGCGCAAAGAATATTCTTTGGGAGAGACTCTTCCTGTCCGTTGATGAAAGCTGAGCCTCCCTGCCGTCATAGTTATCCACTCTGAACTGAAGAAGCTTGAGAACAAGGTCTTAAATTTTGCTTATTTCAACCATTTTGACAGAAATTTTCCGAATACTGTGACTCCTTCAGGCTGAGTGCTTTTGGGAATTGTCAGCTACCATTTCGGAGGGATTTGGGAGAATTGTTTGTTGGTCATTTTGCAGTGATTTACCTAGAGTTTTGAAGAATTTGTTCTGTTTCAATTTGGCAGGAGAAGCTTGGCTGGTGTTAGGGAGGTGCCTCTGCTCTGGCTATGACCCTACCTCAATTTCTGTCTCTTAAAAGAGAATCACTGACTTGGCTGACTGTGGGGAAGGGTTTGGCCTCACTACCCGGCTTGAGGAGTGCTGTGGGGTCGTATCTTTTGGGCAGCAGGCTCCCTGGGAGTGATGGACGAGGAGCAAGAAGCAGGGAGGCTTTCTCCTTCCTCTCAGCTGCTGCAGCATGCACCCTTTGAAGGGAACAGCAGTCCACGCAGGACCCCCACTGGAGACACCAAAGATGCCAAGAAAGCAGGCAGAGGGAAATGGAGCCCAAAAGCAGGTGTAGGGGTAGAAAGAGTAACCTTGAAGCAGCATTTCTTGAGCTGTTGTTGACTTTGCTTCTGGTCATGCTTCCAGGTTTGCAACTGCTGATACTGTGATCGAATTTTCCCGCAGTTGAATTGGTAATTCACCATGGACTTCTAGGGCTTGAATCTCTTCTCTTTACTGCTCTTTTGATGTTGCTGTTTGGAGTCAACAGGAGAATTTTTTTCCCCAAAAGTTGTTCATTTTAATTCTGTCAGGTAGAATTTTTTGTCCCCTTACTATCAATTAATATTGAAAAAGGAAAAAAAGGAACCTCATAATGGAGATGGATCATATCGAGCATAATAGCCATACTGTTTATATTGATTGTGTGAGTATGTGTAAATGAAAATGCTACTGGGTTAATCGGCAGTGTTGTACCCTAAGATGTCATCTGTACATCTAATAAATAAAACTATTCGTTGTCATACTTAAAAAGTCAAGCTGAATGCCGGATTTTGTTACAATGTGTTCTGGACTACCCCAATTCATGCGTTTTACAAGCACAGTGGTATTAAGAGGAACTAGGACGACTCGGTTTGTATGTGAGGTATATCCATTTCAGTTTCTCATCTGAAGCTCTGTGACTATCTGGGAAGAGTGCAGTTTAATATAAATCCCAGTGAACCTCTCCCTTGTTTTTACAACTCTACAGTGGCTTTTGTCTTATGATGACTAACTTCAGTTTTGGACTGTTGAGTAACTTAGATGTTTAAAATGTCCATAGCCTGCTCTAAGACATCTATTTGATGCAGACACTTGAGCTGAGTAACAGTGTCAGATCTTGAGAAAAATGAAATAATTATTGAAATACATCAGTTACAGGGAAAGACTTGAACTAGATCAGAGACCTGAGTTGAAAGGACTGACTTGGTTATGGGATGAGCTCAACCTATATATGTACGTGAAAGACTTCCTACATTTCAGTACTAACTGCAGCATAGGAATTTAGACCTAATGTTCAAGAACCTAGCTAAGGTCTTACGCTGTTGAAATAAGAGGGTTTTTTTTCAATGATTTTATATAAACCATTTGTTTAACTGGTAGAATTAATAGATACTGTGCTAATTACGCTAATTGAATCTTTAATATCGGTATAGTTATAGTGTTATATTCTTCCTTATCTTCCCCCATTCATCCAGCATGGTAAGCGTTTGTGACTCCTGCCCCTTCCAGAACCTTAACTGAACGTATGGCCGCTCACCTCTTGCTCACTGCAGACCTGTGCACTGCCTGGGATTCGGGTATCTCCTTTGTGATCTGCACTTTCACTTCTGAGGATATAAGCAGGCACTGAAAACTGCACGCTCATCATACCAAGAGTTGGATTTGTATTAGGTGGGAGAGCAGAGGGATACAATGGTGAGAAGATTTGTATAAAAATACACAAAATATACAAGCCCAACTCGGTTCCTCTTCTTCTGATGTAATCACAAGGAAGAAAGCCGTTAAAGCCTATCCACCCGGAATTGAGCAGCAAATGCTATTTCACAGTTCACAAAGCAGGGGAATTCTTCAAGGCTGTAGGAAGCTGGAGTAGTTAACCAGTCTTCAAATAGAGATTCAGGATTTTAGGTTGGGCAGTTTCCTATACGGGAGTCTTAGGTTTTAAAGTAATCAAGTGACTTTCTGACTTTTTTTAATGTTGATTAGTGTTTTTCATTCAGTTTTAGCAGGTTTGCAAGTACTTCATTTGCCTCTGCTGCCTTTGGCTAGTGAGAAGTTGCTAGTTTAGAGGGGTTTTTTTGTTTGTTTTGTATGTCTTTTGGTTTTTGCTTGTTGCAAGACTTCCATGTAGCTTTGTGTTCTTCTGGTGCCTGGTTTGAGTGGCAGAAATATCCCCGAAAAGCCTGTTTGTATGTAAAAGCACCACTTAGTATTTTTATATGATAGCATTAGATTTTGACTTGGCTCTGAAGAGGCAGTGCTAGGTATGGTGGCAGAGACTGAGTGGTGGAAATGCTGAACGGGACAAAGCAGAGCTGGGGTGGACGATGCTGTGCTCCAGCTGTGGTGTCCTTCAAACACCATAGCCAGCTTGTACAAGTTAGAACAGCCTGGAGTCTGCTGGGGCTGGGACAGAAACCTGCAGAACAGTAAGTAGCGGGCTTCTCTGGTCATTTTCACTCTTTAGGTCTGCCTTGGAGGCATTTGGGCATTCCCGGGATTTTGTGGTTTCCTATTATAACAAATGCAGGCTGTCATCACAGAAGGTGATGTCCTCTGTGCTGGATCTAGTGATAGTGTGGCTGTAGGATGAGGAAGTTGATCTTCACCGAAGGGAAAAAGAACAGTTGTGTAAGTTTTCTGTTGCGTGAGCGAGCTGAGCTGAACCCTCCTTTGGTCACACCATTGCTAAACGTAACTCACGGGAAGTGGTAGGAACTTGGAAGGGTGGTTTGGGTGTAATGCAGACTTGTACTCTAATGTTTACATGTCTGAGCATTAACAAGAGAAAGGGGAGTATTGGTCTGATGGAAGACAGCCCGTCTTCCATCAGGAACTTGGCTGGGTTTGCAGGGAGCAGTCCCTGGTACCCAGGACCTGGGCAGTGTGAGGATAAGCTCAGAGCGAGCTGGGTGATGCCTGCTGCTCTTACCTGAAAGGGCAAACCTCTGCAGCAGTCCTGCTCGCTCTGCTCCGTCACCCTGGTGTTTGGCTTCTGGGCTGGAGGGTGGCAGGGAGGTAGGGGCAGAGCCGGGGCCGTAGGGCTGTGCCGCTGGGCCGGTGAGGAGGGAGCTGCCCTGGACTAGTGGTCTTGGCCGAGCTGACCGCAGCAGAGGAGGCTCTGTAGGATTGTAGTAATCAAGTGGTGGTCCTCACACGCTGGGGCTTCCCTCCTGGGTGACAAGTCGTGTCCCGAAAAGTGGGATCTTCACCCGCTGTGCAAGCCGATTCACACAGGGTCGAGGTATTTCTTTAATTATGGGTTTGTGCAAAGCTGGGAGCCAGGTGATGTCCCACAAAGCTGGTGCAACTCCACACAAAAACTACAGCCTATTTATCCTGTTAGATGATTAGCAAAAACCCACGTGAATTTACACTTATTGGTTAGTAATTACACCATCGTTTGCTATTGGTTAGTTATATTTAAATTAGCCTCTCTTGCTGTGTAAATTAGCACACATGCTCATTACAGGTGTGGGGGAGCAAGTCTTTTCAGTCTTGAATTGAGTCGGTGGTCGTACTCTCCCCCTGCCGCCTTTCCCCCAGTTACTGCTGATTTCTGCTGACTTTACACTTCAGGTGGCAACTTTCCAGCCGAAGGATGTTCTGGGGTAGGATGTTCCTCTTTAGCAGTCTTCAGTCGCACTTCAAGGACCTTAGCAGTTGGCAAGCGTGCAGATCTGTGAGCTCACACAGTGGCACTAGTGCGAGTCTCACTTTTGGCTTAGCAGTTCCCTCTCATCGCACTCTGCATTCCTTAGGTCAGGCTGCTCTTTTTGCCTGAGAAATTGGATTCTCTCCTCCGCCCATTCACCTGT